TATATTTTAATTTTTAGTGGGAGCCTGATTAATTTAAACTAAGATACAGCAAAATGAATGAGCTACTGAAACACAAAAAATCATTTGTGGAAAATTACTCTTTAAATCCTCTTGTATCTTGTCCTTTGTTATCTCAAATCTTTGATGTTTGTAAGCTCTTAAATGTATCTTTGCACATAGATAGTGCTATGCCCGTACAATGAAATACTATTCAGCAATGAAAAATGAGTTGGTTATTTGTATACTCACAAATAGGGAATCAAGATTCAGTGAATCCAAAATGCCACTGATTTTATGTAACCCTGGGAGAGAACAACCCTCTAGTTAAACTATGACATACCATTGATTATAACATGCAGCCCTAATACAGAGGCAGTTGGAAAAAAAGTACTTCTTAGACTCAAAGACAAGATAAAAAATATATATATGTCTACTTTTTAAAAAAGAATTTTGTTAGGATAAGCCTGAAAACAAATGTGGAAGAATGTATATCTGTCTGTCATATTCACCACTGTACTCCTACGTACAGTGTTTTGCACATAGTAGACAAATACGTATTGTGAATTTTTAAGTTATGCGTTTCTAGAACGTTATTTTTTTACAGCTAGCATATATTGCATTTGTATTCAGAAAAAATAAATCTTAAAAATAAATTTACATTATTTTACATTATTTGTATGTTTCAGAGTATCAGCAACGGGTAGAACTAACTCCTTTCTTCAGAACTGATTTGAAAATCTGCTTTGTTATAATTGTTTGACTTTGTAACATCCTTTTCTAATTATCCCATTATATCTTTTTATAACTGTCGTTAAATACCACCCCAAAACTTGAAGTAGTATCTTTCACTTTGTAGCTGCTGTGCATGTCCACAAATATGTTTATATAAAAAAATCCAGTTGCCATAATGTTGGTTCCAGTTCCTGGTGACCCCGTATGTATCAGAGTAGAATTGTGCTCCATAGAGTTTTCAGTGGCTATTTTTTGGAAGTAGATCACCAGACCTTTCTTCAAGACACCTCTAGGTTGGCTCGAACTTCCAACCTTTTGGTTAACAGCCAGCCCTATTAACTATTTGCACCACTCGGACACCACGTACCACATAAGGTATCAGAATTAAGTAAAATTATATGTGATACCTGATGAACATTTAATACATATTAGCTATTATTTTGATGGTATTGATTCTAAAGCTGACTTCTTATTACTCAATTCCTGAACATTTTGAAGTTTGGAAAAGGAAAAATTATATGTATGTTTGGGACTGGTGAAAGGAAAAAGGTTTGAATTTTTTGGTTTATAGTATCCATGCATAAACATGCAAAACATTTATACAATATCTTCTTTGTTTTTAATTCCAAGTATTCCATGATTTTATCCCTTTTTTCTATTTCAGGTCGAGACTTCACAACAGCTCATAATAAGCAACCTTCAGTGCTGAGTAAGTGGTTGGTTGCCTGCTCTTTTCTCAATCAATTCAAATCCTGCCTTATTCTGCCAACAGATTGTTCTGATAAGATTTTAAGTCATTTGACCCTTTTTGCCTCTTAATCCACCACCCATTGATACCATATACGCTGTGATATAAAATGTGTTCAGGACTGTTTTACTGTAAGTAATTTATTTGCAAGAGTAAATGGTTAATTTTTTTCTTTTTAAATAACGTTGAAATCTGATGAAGTGTTGTTGGACTCAGTCATTTTTGTAGACCAGAGCAAAGGACTGCTATATAGTGTTATCTTACAGGCGATACTTATATGCTGCCTATTTTGCTGTAGGAAGTAGTTCATCCTCACAGGTTTGATCCTTTGAAATTAACTTTTACTTCTGAACCTATTGCTTTTGTTGTTTTACTTCCCTACTTTGTTTTGCCTCTCTGTTAGATTTAACTTATGATACTAGAGTATCGTATAAATTTTTGAAGTGTGTGAAATGCTATTTTGATATCTGTATTTGCTTCAGGTTCAAGATACCAAAAAAACCCTCAGGAGTGGGTTGAACAAACCCCAAGAATTAGGAGTAGGATGCGAAGTAAGTAGATAAATCTCTACTTATTATTAAAATAATTTTTAAGTTTATTTGCTGTGTTTTTCTTGATTATCTAACATAGGAAAATATTTGGTTCTTCAGGTAAGCATTTGCATTGTGATTTCATTAATAAAGGACAACTGTGATTACTAATTCAGTAATTTTTATTTGCTTGGACTGTCAGGGGATGGATTGTTTACAATATAGATAGTGGTATGAGAAAGCCAGTGGTTAATGAGTCTAGATTTGACAAGCTGTCAATTCTAGCAGCAGTACAATCATACAGGATAATGAAATTCTCTTCTTTTGACAATACCTACTTTTTGTTTTTAATAGACTGTTTATATAAATAACTCCTACCACTTAGAGTAGCTTTGCATACCCATAATTTTAAGTATTAAAGGCTGAAAGCCACAAATTATATTTTCATGTTGAGGTTTAGGATGGATTAAATGTCACAGAATTTAAAAAATACTGTAAACAGGTGTGATGAAACAATCATCATTTGAATTCAGTGCCTATCATAATTTCTGTAGAAATATATCTGCATTAAATCTTAACTGTATGAAAAAATATCCATTCATTTTCTCTGCCTTAAGTGACCCTTAGCCTCTAACTCTTCTTTATTCATCTAACCACAATAGGATTCAAGATCATCAGGTATCCCTTTATTTCTGTTTAGATAGAAATCCCCGATGATAAATAGCTCTTGCTCATGAAATGACTAACTGTGTAATTGGACAATTGTTTTTCCATCAGTAAAGTAGTAATGGTCACAATTCGTTATTTCTCAGTGTCAGCACACAGACTTTTTTCCCACATACAAGTGAATTCTCCAGCAGTCTAAAACTCAACTAGCATTTTGCCCTTGCTTTATTGTTGGCTGTCATTTCTTATTGCTGTGAGTGTGTGCTTGCTTTTGGAAGACCATTTCCTCTAACAGTTTGCTCTTTCTGACCTGTTGTAGTTAGGAAATCAAATATTAATAATTTAATTTATTAGAGAATTATGTTTATAACCAGAATCAAAAATTAAAATTAACTTTGGATGAGGACCAGAGAGACACTCTTGGAAGTAAGAATACATGAGTTTTAGTATGTACACTGTGAAAAGCTCAGACACTGCTTGTGTTATTACCTAGTTCATAACTATATATGCATTCTGAATAATTAATACCAGATAAATTACTTCCAGATAAGTGAAATAGTACACATTGTTACCAGAAAATTTTTGTGTGATTTTTATTTCCTCTAATAAGAAATTGTACAAATTCAGTGCAGAAAGATATATAGTCATATTGAAGATCTGACTGGAATGCAGAAATAGATCTTAGTTTCTAAATTGGTAGCTAATTTTTTAAGTATTTTATCTGTTTGTATTCCAGCTTTGTCTTAAAAAAATAAAAAAACCCAAACCCGTTGCCATTGAGTCCATTACTACTCATAGCGACCGCATAGAACAGAGTAGAACGGCCCCATAGGGTTTCCGCAGAGCAGCTGCTGGATTCGAACTGGCGACCTTTTGGTTAGCAGCCAAACACTTAATCACTGCACCACCAGGGCTCCACATTCTCTTAAGTGAATATATTTATTATGGCTTAAATATTTGTGCACTGGTTGATAACCATCTGCCATATATAGGTATTGTATTGGGCTTTGAGAGTTATGTGAAATAAGATGAGAAATTTGCAAGCATATTAAGGTACGCATAACAGATTTTCTTAGACCTTTTAACCACACGAGAACTTAAGGAAGAACAGTGAACAGGAAAAAAATACTTCAAGTAGGAGAAGACTACAGTGATTCTTCAGTAGCCTTATCATAGATACCTCTTCAATCCAAGACCATTTTTAAGAATTTTTTCTTAGTATTCCAAATTTCATATCTCTTTGTCTTAAATATACATTTCTGCCAGCTTAGATGAGAAAAAAAAGTCCTTTTTAGATACAGGTCTTCAAGAACCTGCGGGGACTTTAGATCCTTATTGTCACCCTATGTTAGCACCAGTTCCCTGGGTAGACAGGTTTTTGCCTACTTCCTAACCTTTTCAGAAAGATAGGACCACTGTCTACTTTTTCCTGTTTCCCAGGTGATAAAATAATGAGAATAGGGAAGAATATGTCAGTTAGGGATCAGACTTCTTTACACATGCTTTAAAACCTGTCTTAAAGGTGGGATAGAGAAAAGGGGGCAGAGTTTGTTGTTAGAGCTCTTGGGTTTCAGTCCTAGTTCTTCCACTTATTAGTTGAATGATCTTGGGAAAATCACTTAACCTTTGTGAACCTCAGTTTTCTTACCATTAAAGTGGAGACAATAGTGCCTATAAACCGAAGAATAGTTTAGCTTAACTAGTGAAAAACGGTCTGCCTTGAGCATTATGCTATTTTAAGAACTATCTCTATGGGATCACGTTGACAATAGCGACTCCAAAGATCATATAGGAACCTGAGGGGGCAGAGAGTTTATGTTAATGAGGGGGAACAACTGAAAAAAGGAGGGTGAGAATGGTTGCACAACTCAAAGAATATAATCAATGTCACTAAATTGTACATGTAGAAACTGTTGAATTGGTGTATGTTTTGCTGTGTATGTTCTCATCAGGAACAAAATAAAATTTAGGGGGAAAAATGAAGTGAGAAAAAAAAGAATCTATGTACACCTGAAACACAATAAAATATTGTTTAAAAAAATAGTCCCTATAACTAGGTCATTTTGAGACTCAAATGATTTTATATATGCCCATTGCTGTTGAGTCAATTCCAACTCATAGCAACCCTATGGGACAGAGTAGAACTGCTGCATAGAGTTTCCAAGGAGCAGCTGGTGGATTCAAACTGCCAACCTTTTGGTTAGTAGCTGAGCTCTTAACCACTGTGCTACCAAAACTCCAGTTTTATGTATATGTGAGTGCGATTTTTTAAAGTCTAAGTACCACATAATTATTAAGGCTCACTTAATAGTTACCAATATATGATGTAATAATTACCAATAATTATAACTATGTGGAGGTTCTGTGCCCTTACTCCTGGCTTTTATAGAGTGATTATTACCATACTCTCCAGACTGGGAAAACTTAAGCTTTATCTTTTAAAAAGTTTTTTTTTTTTTTTTTTTTAGGAATTTATGTTACCATCTTTAATAATATTTTTAATAAGAGGGATGGACATTGCCTTTTAGACAGTGACCTGCCTCAGCAGTGTATACACTGCTAAATATGTTTTTGTGCTCCATGAATTAAATAAATACTGCATATGGTATGTAATAACTATTACTTAGCTATTCTTTATCATTAACATCATCATAGAATAACGCTTCACAGCATATATATATACATTTTTCCCCTCTCATTTGATCTTTGTAACCACAGAGTGAGGTAGGATAAACATTATGATTGATTTTTTTTTCCCAAGTAATTCAGTCATAACTTTGGTGACCTAAGTTAGAAGACTTCTAAATGATGACGTTTCCTAGTCTAAACTAGTAATTTAAAAATATGCCTCTCAGACTTAGAGTTGATGTCATTTTGTCTTTTTTAAGGTTTTTTTGGTTATATGACCAAAATGAAGCTATTTCTGTATCTTAGCAGTACTAATTTTATTCCTCCAGTTTAGCCCAGCGTTTCTCAAATGAAAGCTGTTGATAAACTGCAGAAAGGTCATTTAAATACACAAAAGTTAATAAGTCTTCAGGCAACTGACAGGTGGCAGTACTGGTAAATGTAGGTCATATGGATGAGACAACTCAGCCTCTCCACCTCTGAGCCCCAACCCTCCCTTTCCTCTCTCTTAGATGTTACAGCCTGCTGCCATGCAGGAAGGATGGGGGTGGGGAGGGAAGGGTTAGGATAGTTTTAAACTTATTCCCTAAAGTAATGATGGAAGTAGAGAGTTGATGGAGTTGTGAGAAAATTATTTTTGAGATCTGTTGTTTTAGCTACGAACCTAAAACAGAAATACTTGTGTATTAACAGAAATGGTGAAAGGTTTTTAAATGTAATTTTAAAAATGTTAACATTTGAAATGGTCAGAGGCCTCAGAAGAAGTATTTGAATCATTTGGGGTAGAAAAATTGGGCTTCATATTAAACACTTTATATAGTTTAGTAATCCATACCCATATTTTGTCCTTTTCCCCTCCTTTACAGCATCTTCACCAGGCAAGAGGTCAATATATAGCAGTTTTTCCAATGGTTATAATACATTTCCTTTTATAATACTTGTGCTTGTTTGCTTTGTCATCCTAACTTTGTCCCAGCAGTTTCACCAATCCGGTTAAATGAGTATGGCCAGTGCTTCAAGGCTTTCACATAAATTAATGTATTAAGTGTATATTTATACTAGACCACCACATGCTGTGAGTTAGTACTAAAAAAAATAGGTCTTGTGTCTCAAGGGGCTTTCAGTCAAATGGGCAATTGGATATCCTACTTTTTCTTCTGTTTCTGGCTGATATCTGCTTTCTTTTCTCTTGGTAGAATTTGTATTTTCTTTCTCTATTAGAAGTAAATTCATGAAACATAAATTGATAGTCTTTTCTTTTTTTTCACCCCTGTCATTAGATGACAACGTTCACGTTCAGAAATCAGTACTTGGAAACCAATCTCCGTCAACCTCCAGCCAACGTAAGTTTGTCTTTTCAGTTTCTATTAAGTGAAGTCTCTAAAATTGGCGGTCCATATTTTTTTTTAAATTTTGATGGCAAAATAGTTTTTAAATTAGGCTATTTGAAAAATTATGTTTTAAGCACTTCGGAAGAAAAAGTATATATTTTACTAGCAGTTTGAATTCTCTAAGGACAAACTATATGAAAGAGCATCTGGTTTTCCCCTTCCCTTTTTTGTCCAGAAGACCAAAAGTAACAGTTAATAAGTAAGTAAAGTTAGTAATACTATTAACCTATTGAACCCTGCTGAATCAGGAAAGACAGCACAAAGTATAATATAATGGGATTATCACAGGTTTTGGAGTCTGCAAACCTGGATTTGAATTACATAGAACCATTTACCTGCTGTATAGTCTTGGGGTAAGTTTCTTTAATTCTCTAGGCCTCTTCATTATCCTGAATGACTACTAAAGGGAAAGTAATTTAACAGTGATTCTCAAACTTTTTGATCCCAGTACCCCTTTACACTAGTACAATTATTAAGGACCCCAAAGACCTTTTTTTTTTTTTTAAATGGATTATATCTATCTATATTTATCTAGAAATTAAAGTTGAGAAAATTTTGAACTATTAATTTATTTTAAAGTAATTTAGTAAGAGACAATAGATAAATGTTAACTTTGGGGAAGGGTAAGACAGTACACAGTACTGGGGAAGCCAGCACAGCTTATTCGGGGTAAGGTCATGGAAGCTCCATGGACAAATCCAAACTCCCTTAGGGACCAAATTACTGGGCTGAGGGCTATGGGGACCATGGTCTCAGGGAACATCTAGCTAGATTGGCATAAAATGTTCTATAAAGAAATGTTCTACATTCTACTTTGGTGAGTAGCGTCTGGGGTCTTAAAAGCCTGTGAGCAGCCATCTAAGATACTCTACCAGTCTCACCCCTTCAGGAGCAAGGGAAAATGAATACTAAAGACACAAGGGAAAGATTAGTCCAAAGGACTAATAGACCACAACTACCACGGCCTACACCAGACTGAGTCCAGTACAACTAGATGGTGCCCGGCTACCACCACTGACTGCTCTGACAGGGATCACAACAGAGGGTCCCAGATAGAACTGGAGAAAAATGTAGAACAAAATTCTAATTCAAAAAAAAGACCAGATTTACTAGCCTGACAAGAGACTGGAGAAACCCCGAGAGTATGGCCCCTGGATACCCTTTTGGCTCAGTAATGAAGTCACTCAAGAGGTTCACCTTTTAGCCAAAGATCAGACAGACCCATAGGACAAAACGAGACAAAAGGAGCTCACCAGCCCAGGGACAAGGACTAGAAGGCAGGAGTGGACAGGAAAGCTGGTAATAGGAAACCCCAGGTCATGAAGGGAGAGTACTAACATGTCATGGGGTTGTTAACCAATGTCATAAAACAGCATATGTACTAACTGTTTAATGAGAAGCTAGTTTGTTTTGTAAACCTTCATCTAAAGTACAATTAACAATAAATAAATAATAATAATAATTTAGTAAGAAGAGCAACCAGTTGCTTTGCATTTTTTTCTAATCTCTTTAATGCCTAGCTTAATAAAATGGAGCCGGATTCTCATATGTGTTTCACATTCAGTCTCTTGGGATGTTGTTTTGGGTTGAGTATCTGCGGAAAATCCAGCTTCACACAGATATATAGAATTTTAATAGCCTTTTCAGATATTCCTTTGATATACCCATACTCAACAAGTGATAGTTTCTTAGATGTTATTTGAAATGTGAAGTCTGAAACCACCTTGATGAGCTTTTTGTACTCTATTACATTAAAATCCATTGGTCTCCCCTGTACTTTGAATAGAATATCATGCATTGGTCATTTGAAAATATTCATTAAGTTATGTTGATCTTTCAAATTCATAATAAATTATCAAAAGATCACGTTTGTTGATGTTACCACCAATCTCGAGAAAAAAGATCTTTAGTGGGCGCTATCAAGTGCATAGTGACAGATTAAATGTTTCCAACATTCTAATTTTCATTTGAAAACTTGAATTTTATAATTGGCAATAAATATTGTCAACTGTTTGCCTAGAAGTAACAGGCTCACTTTGTTTATTTTCAAGAAAATACCTGCCAAATATGCAAGTCTGAATAACCATAGTTTGTCACTTGTTCTCCTAAGTAAAAATAGTGTTCCATGAGAAAAAGTAGCTAGTTTAGCGCTCATCTCAGTCACACAAAGTTCTTTTCCTGAGATAACCATTGTAGTATAGTATGCAGCCACAATTTCTTCACACAGAATGTTAAAAAGATACTGTTTTAGTCTCTTAGGGCTGCTATAACAAAATAGGTGGCTTTAAACAACAGAGAACAGAAATTTATTTTTTTCAATCTGGAGCCTGGAAGTTGGAAGTCAGGGCTTCAGGAGGGCTATGCTCTCTCTCTCTCCCTCTCTGCTGACCCTAGGGGAAGGTTCTTCCTTGTCACTTTCAACTTCTGTAGCCCCAGCATTTCTTGGCTTCCTTGGCTTGTAGACTGATCCTCACATGCTGTCTTCCCCCGTGTATGTGACTCTCTTTCCATTTCTGTCCTTTTATAAAATGCCACTCAGAAAGGATTAGGATTAGGACCCACCCAACTTCTGTATTACCTCATTAACTGTAACATTTACAAAGAAAAACCCTACTTCCCCAGACAAGGTCACATTCACTGGTACAGGATTAGGTCTTCAACAGGTTAGGTCTTTTTGGGGGACACAGTTCAGTCCATAACAGATTTATACTCAAGGGCTGAGATTTAATAAAGTGAATAATTTATTTTAACTGCTTCATGAAGGACAGTCCTAAGTGAAACTGGCTTTTTTTTCCCCCACCTTGAATGCATGAAGGTGAAACATACAGTGACTATACTAGTACAGTTCAGTGCCACTGCCTTAATTCATGCTAAGGCATCAGCAGTTTTTTCCCCCATTGTTTTTGCATATCAGTGCAAATGTCGACACAGTGAAAAAGTCAATAATATCTTGTATTATGAGAATAGTTTTCTCATGGACCCTCCTGAAATGGTCTTTTATTATTATTTTTAATTGTGATAAATATATATGTAACAAAACATTTGCCATTTCATCATTTTTTACATATACAATTCAGTGACATTAATTATGTTCATCATGTTGTTTAACCATTACCACTATCCGTTTCTGAATTTTTCTGTCACTTAACAGAAGCTCAGTGTCCCCTAAGCAATGACTTCCCCTTCCCTCCTCCCTTCTGCCCACCCCTAGTAACCACTAATAAACTTTGGTCTCTAAACACTTGCCTATTCTAGATACTTCATGTAAGTGGGTACATACAATATTTGTCCTTTTGTGATTGACTTATTTTACTCAGCATGATACTTTCAAGGTTCATCTATGTTGTAGCATGTATCAGGATTTCATTTCCCTTATGGCTGAGTAATACTCCATTGTAGGCATGTACCACGTTTTATTTATCCATTCATCTATTGATGGACCTTTAGGCCGTTTCCACTTTTTGGCGTTGTGAATATTCCTGCAATGAACATTGTTGTACAGGAATCTATTTGTGTTCCAGCTTTCAGTTCTTTTGAGTATATACCTAGGAGTGGAATTGCTGGATCATATGGTAATTCTTTGTTTAGTTTTTTGAGGAACCACCAAACTGTTTTCTATAGCAGGTGTACCATTTTACATTCTCACCAGCAATGGATGAGGATTTCAGTTTTTCCACATTCTTGCCAATACTTGTTGTTTTCTGTTTTTGTTATCATAACCATCTTAGTGAGCGTGAAGTGATATCTCATTGTGGTTTTGATTTGCATTTCTTAATAACTAATCATATTGCACATCTTTTCATGTTTTGGCCATTTGTATTTCTTTGGTGAAATGTTTGTTCAAGACCCTCGTCCATTTTTTGATTGGTTTGTTTATCTCTTTGTTAAATTGTAAGAGTTCTTTATATATTCTGTATATTAAATCCTTATCAGATACATGGTTCCCAAAAATTTTCTCCCATTCTGTAGACTGTCTCTTCACTTTGTCGGTAAAGTCCTCTGATGAACAGAAGTTTTTAGTTTTGATGATATCCAATTTATCTATTTTGTATTTTGTTACCCTGCTTTCCATATCATGGCTAAGAACCCATTGTTAAAAACTAGGTCCTAAAGCATTACTCCTATGTTTTCTTCTTGAAATTTTATGGTTTTAGTTCTTACATTTAGGTCTTTAATCTATTTTGAGTTAGTTTTCGTATATGGTGTGAGGTATGAGTCTAAGTTCATTTTTTTGCTTGTGGAAATCCAGTTGTCCTAGCACTGTTTATTAAAGAGATTATTCTTTCCCCATTGGATGGACTTAGTACCCTTGTTGAAAATCGATTGGTCATAGATGCACAGGTTTATTTCTGAACTCTCGAGCTATTCCATTGGTCTATAAAATAGACGCACAAAAATCAGTTGCGTTTCTATACATCAGCAATGAGCAATCTGAAAAGGAAGTTAAGGAAACAAAACTGTAAAAATGGCTTTGGAGTGGGGTCCTCGTCTAACTTCACAGAGGGAAGAATCATTATCAATATCAACAGCCCAAGGTGTTGATATGAGGTGGAGGTCAGACCTACCGCCTCTCTCCAACCTTTTTACCAATTCTGTCCCTCCCATGGCATCTAAATGACTAAAATACCTAGGAATAAATTTAACCAAGGAAGTGAAAGACTTGTACCCTGAAAGAGTCTTGAGGTACCCCGTGGAGCCCACAGACCACACTTTGAGAACTGTTGCTCTAAAAGGTCTTTAGTACAATTATTAGCCCAAAGCAGTCAGTCAATAAATAGGAGGTGTAAAAGTGTTACTGTTCCTATAATATTATTGACTGATTAAATGAACTGGTTTATGAAAGAGTGCTTTATAAGCTTGAAAGCACCAGATAAATGTAAACTGATATTATCATTATTGCCAGTAATAATTGGGCATGAGTTGCAAAAAAAAGGTACTAGTGTTAACTTGCATACTACAAAAAGATAGTCATCAGTGCAAGTAATCTAAAGGGGCAGCTAGCTATATGGAAGATAGCGCTTATATTGCATCCTTTTCTTTATACCTTTATATACTTCAGAAACATTCCACCTTGAATAATTAGTCATGTAAACTGCTGATATTCTAAATTGAAAAATATTTATAAAATATCTTTTAATAGTTTATTTCCCAACTCTGTAACAGTAGTAGTAATGGTTATACTTTATTAACTGTATTATTTCTGACTTGCTTATACCATTTAGTATGTTTAAAATTATTTTTATCTAAGACTTATAATTTTTACATTGAAGTATGTAATTTTATTTCTAAATAGACATATACATAGTTATACACATAACTTAAAGCCTATGGTGTGAGATTTTCTTGAAGGCATGTGATAAATTATTTCTTCACGGAATAAATTATTTTATCAGCTCTCTTCTTTAAATTCCTTCCTCTTTTACCTAATACTTATAAAGATTAATATTAGTTTAAAAGTCACTATCACTTGAATCTAAGAAAATGGTATTCATATATCTGTTCTTTCTTTCCCAAACAGAAGTGGCTAGACAACCCAAAACTACAGGTTTTTTCCAGAAGTGGTGGTGGTCACTTCTACTGGTAGCTGCCGTTGCCATTGGGATTTTTTGGTCCATTCATACTCCTGAGGTAGAAACCACTGCTGTTAAAGAGTTCCAGAACCAGATGAGACAACTTAAGAGTAAGTACCAAGGTCAGGATGAGAAGCTGTGGCAAAGGAGCGAGACATTCCTGGAAAAACATCTTAATAGCTCCCATCCTCGGCCTCAGCCTGCCATCTTGCTGCTCACTGCTGCCCGAGATGCTGAAGAAGCACTGAAGTGTCTGAGTGAACAAATTGCCGATGCCTATTCTTCCTTCCGTAGCGTCCGTGCCATCCGGATTGATGGGACAGGCAAAGCTGCTCAAAACAGTGATATGGTCAAACTAGAGGTAGACCAGGAACTGAGCAATGGATTCAGAAATGGCCAGAATGCAGCTGTGGTGCACCGCTTCGAGTCACTGCCTGCAGGCTCTACTTTGATCTTCTACAAGTATTGTGACCATGAGAATGCAGCCTTCAAAGACGTAGCCTTAGTCCTAACTGTTTTGTTGGAGGAAGAGACGCTTGGAACCAGCCTAGGCCTAAAGGAAATTGAAGAAAAAGTGAGAGATTTCCTCAGAGTCAAGTTCACCAGCTCTGACACACCCAACTCCTACAATCATATGGACCCAGACAAATTGAGTGGGCTCTGGAGCCGGATTTCTCACTTAGTCCTGCCTGTGCAGCCTGAAAATGCCTTGAAAAGGGGCTTCTGTTTATAAGGGGTGAGAGAAGAGAAAATCATGTCTCAAGTTCTGAGAATGTTTCAGACTTTCTAACCAGAGACAGGATTCAGAGCTCTTTTTGAAAGAACTAGTTTCTTTTTAAAGGAAGTTAAGTTCTTACGTAAACATGGAACATCTAAATCATTTATTCAACATTAATTATCTGTTACTTGAGAGAATCACTTCACTATTTCAACCAAGAGTTGTGTTAAGGGTAGCCTCCCATAAAGGCTCTTTTTAGATTCTGGGCTGAATCATTATTGATCGGGCATGGCCAGTGGGAGGGATTAAGCTCCTTTCCTATGAATCCTCCTAATTCTTTAACTTGGATTTTTCATAAAGTTTGTTGAGTTATTAGTAAGGCAGCTTCCTAAATGCAACTGTGGGTTTTCCCATCTTGTTCTTTTTTACAACATTTAGGTATGAGTTCCTTAGTAAGTCATTGCTTATAGGAACAAAAGTAATGAACAGTCATCTGGCTGTTTATTTGGATTTTTTTCCTTTGTTTTTGGCTAGTGGGGGAGAAGGAGGCAAGGGAAGAGAGAGAAGTTGTGGAAAGGCAAGGAAAAAGGTCTTTAAGATGTTACAGTAAGCCACTGAGACTTATTAGTCAGACATAGGTATATAATCTCTGTTACCTCAGTGAAGTGTGTTGGGACTTGTTTTTTACATATCCTTTAAGAAACTCTTGGTTTTCCCAAGGATTTTTCAAGCATGTGTATCATGAGGCTTAGTATATTTGCTCATTTGATTCATAAGGGTGGGTAAATACAGTTTATTTGGCCATAGCGTGAAGCTTTTGAATAAGGAAAGATAATTTCAGGAATTAGTAAACCATTTGTTACCAGCTTTTCTGGGCTGTTGAAGAAGGATTTAATTTTCTCTGTGTCTGCTTGTTGTAGTCTGAGTCCTTTAATGATGCTCTATAGCAAATATAAAGGTTTACTATGCACGTGATAAATTTAATTGAGTGCCTCCAGCCAAAAAGAAAATGAACTTTACCGCATATGAAGAATGTTAAAATATATTTGTGTATGATATAATCTTTCAGTTGTAATGTTGCATCTATAACTGAGCTTTCTCATCTGTCAACTCCTTTGGCTTTCTTAGAATCTTATAATTTAGATACACTTCTTCCCCCACCCCCACAAACCTTTAAATGAAAATATTGTTTTTTGAGTATAGCGCCAGTCATTGGCTTCATCGTGTACCTCTTAAGGGTCCCACCACCTGTAAGTAGAGAGTGGTCCGGTTTCTTTCTACTAGGACTACTAGTATTCATAAATTTTTACCCCTTATTATAATTTGTTCCTGTCAAAAGTCAGAGTGTCTGATTTATTTTACAGAGGATTCTAAAACAGGAGTTTGAAAAAAGCTTATTTTATACAAACATATGGAGAAACTAAGTTTTTATTAAATGTTTCACTGACCAAAATAATTTTAAAGTAACATATTAATTATATCTTTCAGGAAAAATAAGTCTAGCCACCAATCTGTAAATGACTTTAAAAGCTATTTTAGTAATTTAAATAAATTTGCTTTCTTGGTTTGTACTCTTTGTGTTGTAAATTTAATATTCGTAAACCTTTTTTTTTTTTAATTCAAGTGTTTTCTTTACACTTGAGCAATTTTCATGACTTCTGCTAGGAGTAACAAAGGCCAAAGAATTGGAGACTTTCACAAGTACATTGCTAAAAATGGAATAGCCATGATTTTCTGTTTCATCCAGGGGTTTTGAATTATTACTAAAATAGTATTTATTTAGATATTTCCATGCTTACTTGATAGTGAATTTTATACACTTCAAACATGAAAGACTTGGCAAAAAAATCTCCAGAGCAGTGTTTCTCAAACTTTATTGCATTATCACCTCCTAGAGAGCCTTTTTAGATATATTTTTCTAGTAACTCCCCCATGAAATTTTAATACCACATATGTACTGTATATCTGTCTATGAACTGTATATGTATTTGTGCTTTATATATACAAAAAGTTAAGTTTTTCTGCCCTCTCAAACCAGTCTTTGCCCCGGTTGAGAATGCATACTCAAGAGCATCTGTATTTTAGATAGCTGCTGCCCAAAACATCATTCTATTTTCTATTCACAGTATCATAATCCTTTCAGAAGGGAAATTTTAGTAAGTCACCAGCGTGGAAGTAGAAGCTAGGGCCTCTAGAATATTGGCATATTGTGACTTTGGGTAACAACAGTGGCCCAGGGAAAACCACAGTGCAGTACTGATCTTACAAATTTTTAGAAATGTAATTTGCGTCCCTTCTTTTAATGACTTTCTTATCTTTAAGGAAGTTTTTTAAACCTCATACCCTCAAAATAAAGATGAGAAGTAAACTTGATTTTCATTCTATGGAGGAACTGTGGAGATGAAAGGATTTGCAGAATTCATGCCGTTTAGTTAATACCTAAAGTTTTGTCCAGTTTTCCTGTTATCTTGGATCTTCAGAAAGTAGCCTTTATGATGTCAGTGTAAGGAAAAAACAGTTCTCGCTGAATGTATAAGGATAATGGACTATCCCGCTATACTATCATTATCAAGATCATACAGTAAAATCTCGTGGTATGAGGGGGTGGGATCTTTCCGTAAGGAAAAGACTTTACTGGCATTAGCCACCTGGGATGAATATGTGAGTCCTATTACCCAGAAAACCAAACTGGGAAGGCTGCCACTGACTGGAAGAAGAGGCAACTCCTGCCTTGCATGCCTGTCTCTCTTGGATTCAGAGAAGTTCCTATGTGCTTGAGGGCCCTTCTGGACGATGGGGAAGATACAGGCCATCACCTGAGCATAAACAGGGAGAAGATCCCTCATACTCTACGCTTCAGGCATAATGAATTCTAAAAATTACTTAAATGCCTTGTGTTCTTGTCTTTTGCACGTTTTAGACACTTCTGGAAGACTTCATTTTTTTGCCCTTCCCCTTTCCCCAATCTCATGCTCTGCTAACTCTTATTTGTTCTTAAGGCCTTAGTTTTTACGCAGAACTTCATTGAAATCTTCACTAATTCCCTTCCCCCAAATACTGGTTTAGGTGCTCCACCTTTATGCCCTCAGTTATTCTATATTATCCCTGTCACAGCAGTTGGCACACTCCATTACCATATGCCTCTTGAGAGCTGGGGAGTACCTTTTTAATATATGTGTGGTGCAATGGTTAAGCACTCAGTTGCTAACGGGAAAAGCCGGTGGTTGAAACCCACCAGCCACTCCGCAGGAGAAAAGACTTGGCGATCTGGTCTCATGAAGATTACAGCCTAGGAAACCCTATGGGGCAGTTCTGCTCTGTATTATAAGCTTGCTATGAGTCGGACTCTATTCAACAGCACACAACAACAGCAACGTGAATAAAGAAAGAGGAAGGGAACTATGAGTGCCTATGACTCAAGTGGTAGGGGGGAAGCTGGCCTTTCTCTGGCAGAGGCAAAGATCATTAGTGAGAGATCTCCAAGGGGAAGGTGAATTCTAAGAGACAAGACTGGGAGGTGGTGAGTCTTTTCACAGTGAGGTTTGGAATTTGAGTTTTCTTAAAAGAGCTAGTAAGTTTCCTTACATCTTTTTATATTGCCTAAGAGGGTAGTGTAGTGCAGATAATGCTACAGGTGCGGAGAGAAGATGGATAAGAAAAATCTTTGAGAAGTAGAATTGACAGGGCTTGGTAATTAAATGTAATGTTGCAAAGAAAATACCTCATAGAGGACTCTGCAAAGTGCTATACTAGTGAAAATATCTCTTCGTTCTTTTAGCTCATGTATCCTTTCTCCCCAAACACTAGGCACAAAGTGACCAAGTAAATTCTTATAGCTGCATGTCTATATGTTGACTTTTAGCAGTTCGAAGTGGAGATAGCCATACATATTTAGTCAGGAATTGTTTTATTGTAACAAATCAAAACCCTATCTAACCAGCCAAAGAGAAAAGGAGAGATGGGGTAGTGATAAGAGAATATGGCAGAGCCCAAATGGAAACTGTGAAGACTGGTTCTGGATGGAGACCTCAACAGCCATTCCATTTGCCTCTCCACTTTGAGCTTTCTGCCCATTAGCAACCTCCCCTTTGTGACTTACACACCAAGACAGAGAATCTGATTGGTTCAATTTAATGTATGGGATGCTCCCTGAGAAGAATATATGATATAAATATAGTGGCCTAGGTCACCCCTTTAATAGGAGCCATGGGGTGGGGATGGAGTAGGGCAGTTTCCTGGGGTCAGGACAAGGAGTGAATAGTTGAGCTTAAGGGACAACTGAATACATCTTCAAATATATAAAAAGCTTTTTTTTTTTTAATGTAACATGATACTATACTGATTAGTTCATTTCATTTTGGCTGGTTTGTTTTTTTTAGTTTTTTTTTTAAATCAACGGAAGTGAAAGATAATGGAAAGAATACTAAAATTGTATAATCTGGATTCTGGCTGTGGCTCTATAGATAAATTTGACCTAAACAATTCCTTCTCCACTTTGAGCCTCAGTTTCTTGTCCATAAAGTGATTAGGTTGTCGATTATTTTGATTCTGTACTATTTCCATTTATACTTATTTTAGCCCTCTGATACTGCTACAAAAAAAACTAGAGCATTATAATCTATCGTGTCGTATACAATAATGTGATTGTTAACTATCAAGACATCATCAATTAAGAGGTTAAGTGAGGTGAGACCACAAGGCTAGTCTTAGTTTTGCTACAAATGTGATTTCTTCCTATTGCTTGTATTTTCTATGCTGATAAAAGGAGACAGCTATCAAAACTTCAAGATACTATTGTAATATACAATGACCGTTGCTGATTTGTTGTAAGTCTGTCGATAGAACTTTGTTTAGCTTTGTTTAGTTTTCAGTCTGTTTCTTGGGCAAGTGAGGTGGTAGGTGACCATGTGCACTTAGAAATTCCAGGAGTCATTTTGTTTTTTTGTAACGCCTATGCCAGGAGACTACCCCTCCCTGATACAAACTTGGTTTTTTAGGGCTTTCTTCCCACTTTTAGAGAGCACCATTCTTGGGTTAAGTTTAATAAGAGAATCTTCTGCATGTTATACAGCCTGCTATAGAAGATATTCACCCATGCTAGTTATTTACATTTCTTGATGGGCAATTCTTTCAACTACTCTCACTTCCTCATATTGTAGTTTAAATTGACTTCCTCTTATTTTGTCTACAGTGAAGATGGAAAAGATCTATATAAAGGTCTTTGTATATTTGAATATGTATTAAGTTATCCTTAAAGTTTTTCTATTTATTTTTAGTTATTTATTGAGTGTTTATTAATGCTCCAAAAAGTGCATTACATGTAATTACCGGTTTAACTCTCATAATAACCCTGTAAGGTGGTACGATTTTCCCAATTTAATATACAGGAAACTGAGCTACAGGGAGGGAAAGTGATGCTCAATAATACCCAAATAGAAAGTGATGGACCAGAGATTTGAAGCCAGGTATTCTGGCTTTAGAATGTCTATTTTTACCACTATGTATATTGTCTCTAGAACCCCATATATGGTATTTTTTCCCCAATCTATTCAGGCCTGATAATCCTCATAAAAATCCACTGCCATTGAGTCAATTCCGACTCATAGCTACTCTATAGGGTAGGGTAGAACTGCCCATAGGGTTTCCAAGGCTGTAATTTTTAGGGAAGCAAACCGCCACATCTTCCTCCTGCAGAGCGGCTGGTGAGTTCGAACAGCGGAACTTTCAGTTAGCAGCAAAGTGCTTAACCTCTGCGCCACCAGGACATCTTCCACCTTTATATTATGTGTGGCTCTCCTTTAAACCCTTTTCTTTCCTCTTTGCTCAGCATTGAGGAATCCAATATTGCACACACCAAGAATCTGAGTAATTTTGAGTAGAAAGAAACAGTCATCGCACAGCCCTACCTATTGACTCATATTTACATACACTGGCGTCACGCTTTTGTAACTAAAGGCCTACAGTGTTGACTCACAGTTCTTTCTTTTCAAAATGCCTGCATGTAACCCAGGTATCCCTGCATTCCACTTAGTCTCTGTTTTTGCCCTCTCTCAGCCTTGATTCAAAACTCAGCACCTCTTTGAGTTCCTGAGAAGGAATCCATTTGCGTCAAAAGCTTTGGCAATTTCACTGGACAGACAGAAAAGGAATTGACCATAACACACATAACACACCCTACAGAAAACTAAGCAATTCTTATCCCTATTGTAATAAGAGACCGTATTGTATCGTGATTAAGAGCATTGGCACTACAGTGTGGAGTCTCATCTGCTTCAGTGCAAATGCAATATGTTGGCAAATTATTTAACCTCTCTATGCCTCAGTTTCCTTATCTCTAAAATGGAGGAAATAATGTAACTACTATCTTATAGTGTTGTTTTAGGGATTAAATAAGTTAATACATGCAAAGCACTCAAAAAGTGCCACACACATCAAAAGGGCACAATATGTTAGCCTTTTTTGTTCACCAAAATTCTCACCACCAATAGTTCTCTTTCCTCCTGGGTAGCATCAACTGTGGCTGGCTCCTGCTTCCTAGGTGATCCTTATAATGCAGACTTGGCTTTACCCC